ATGAACAAATTTTAATTTTACAATTGAATCCGTTTTCCAAATTAAGCAGCATGTATTTGAATAAACAAATTTTTCTTTATATTTTATTCAAATTTAAGAAAATAACTGCTCCGAAGCAGAGTTGATAATTTCCGAGCTGCTCATTAAAGAAATCATATGCAATTTCTGTTTTCATTACGCATACGCGGCGTGTGCGCCGAGGCAATTAAATAAACCAGCTCCCAAAAAGTATGCAACAATATATGTAAAGCATTTGGCATATTGCGCATACGACGCGTAAGCCGTCGCCGACAATAGCCTGCGGCATAGAATGTGGCTCAATTGTTGCCGTTGTTGTTTCATAAAAATTATGCAGATTAAATGTGGCAACAAGGTTGTCTTAGCCAGCCAAGTGACATTAAATTCGCATAAGGCAGCGCACAAACAACAACGACAGCAAGGATAATGAGAAGCAGAGCAAAAGATGTCTAAATAATAAAAGGAACTTGAGCTGTTGGCGCGACGCACAAGTTGATTGAATAAATCACAGCAGGTTGGTAGCTTCCTTTCCAGGAACTTGAAACAACAGGAAGAAGAAACAGGAAAAACAGGAGCCGCAAGTGAAGTCTTCACATGTAGCCGAGTCGCATGCAAAATTTATGCCCAACTCCACGTTGAGTTGGCTGACGCGTGGCTGTAAACTTTTTACAACCCGGCAACAATTTGGCCAAGTAGCAGTTGGCCCGACTCAGACATAAGCCAGCGAGGCCAGTGTGCTTCTAGCCAGTCACTTCAGCTGCTGCTGTTTTTCATGCCTCATTATCCCAACAGTGTGCAAGAATTTTATCCTGGCTACAAAATAAATTCAATCTTTGTGCCGGACGTAGTCAAAAAAAAATTCAATTAGTTTGCATTTGTAGTTGGAGTGCACTCAAAGCTGAAAGTTTCACCTCTATACAAATTACCTAATTGCTGAAATCTTGGCTTTTATCTTAGAAGTAAGGGCTATTTTAATTTGTTCACAATTTGTTCCCATCCAATTGATTTCAAAAAGCGCTGTCCATTCCAGGCTGGCTATATACTTAAATAAAGTTTGAGCAACGTTTGGCCTAACAAATTTTAAATATGTTTTAGACTTAAATAGAGTGTGACCAACACTTGCCTCTCGACTTGAATAGAGTGTGGCCAACGCTTGGCTTAACCCCATCTCAAGTTGGCTTTAGACTTGAATAGAGTGTGACCAGCGCTTTAAATAAAGTTTCAAATTATTTTGGTTACTTATCCAACTATCTTAACTATTTATTTTATTTTCTCTCTGCTGTTTTCGCTTAAGCTTTTGAATATTTTTTAGCGCTGAGCCACCTGTCGTATGCGCAATTTCAATTTACACGCACACACAGACAAAGGCAGTTGCCACTGTTGCCAGCTGCATAAATATTTTTGGAGCTTTGTCCATCAAACTGGAAACCTGCGCCACCCAACCGCACCTCACCGCACCGCACTCCCCTGCGGCACAGATGCTGGCCTTGCAGTTTTTGCAGCAAACTTTTTAATTAATTGCGCTGGCCATTTTTGGACAAACTCAGGCTACCCTTTAATTGCAAATGAACTGCGTTCGTGTATGGAGCAAGGGATAGGGGGCAGTGGCAGCCACAGAGCTGGGCTTTGCAGTGTTAGTGGCTTTTACATTGGCCCGTTGGACCACATGAACACGGCTAATTTGCAGCTAGCGAATGACCACCAAAGTCCGCACAGAGAGAGTCAATCAGTAAGTCATTTGTATGCGCGAGGAATGGGTTGGCGTCAAAGGGCTGGACAGGATTAAGGTGGCCAAGGGGTTGCTCAACAGGGCGACAGTCACGCGCTTCGCTCGACTCATGTTTGCCTATTTATGCGACGCAGCAGCCGCAGGCGTCGGCCGAACAGCAAAAAGTTTTCCAACTGACACGGGACACAACGCGACGCGAGAGTTCGCATTAAAGTGCCAGCTACCAGCTAACCCTCTGCCCCGCCCCAGACTCTGCCCCTGACTTTGGTCCTGCCCAGTTGCCAGTGACGCCCTCATTGTTTCTGTTGCTGTTTAAACTTTGGCCGCTGCTTCGATTCTTCACCTCTCCGGCCGAACCGAACCGCTCCGTTCGCATTTCCTACGCTTCCTGTTCGCATTTCCCACTGCGCAACAATAACTGAAAGTTTGCATTTTATTTCTGGAAAAAACAATTTGTCAGAAAACAAGCAGCAAAGTTGACACTGTCATAGATAAATGCAAAGGACATTATAACAGTGAAAATGGGATGAAACACAGTTTAATTTCCAGATGGAATTTCACTGACTTAAGTAACCAGTGTGACCAGCGCTTGGCTTATAAACTCCAACTGTACTTTTGTGACTGTACTTACTTGGAATGTGTTCTTAAATAAAATGATTGCAAAAACCTTTTAAGATAATTTCCAGCGCGCTCTTCTTTAAATCCCATGCCTAATTCAAGCTGGCTCTAGGCGTAGACTTAAATTAAGTGTGACCAACGTTTCTGCCCATTTTTGTTACCTTTGCAATATAATTCTAAATAATATAATTGCAGCTAAGATGTGCGAATCTTTCTTAACTTCATCACTCAATTCCAACTTAGAATATTACGTAACTAACCGCCGCGAAAGTTATCGTCAAATTCGCACAGTTTGCCAGTTGCACCACTCGTTAACTTTTTAACTCAATTTTGCCAAATATTTTTGCTCAGATTTCACGAAAATAGTTGAGTCCATGTTGCGACCTTCTTCTACTTCGTTTAAAGGAAGGCAGAATGCCGCAGTTGCTGGCCGAAAAGTTTTTGAGCCGCCAAATTGAGTTAAGTATTTGAAGCTGTCTACACACATGGCCTTATTCAATTTGAGCTAAAGCGGCAGACACTTTAAGTTTGTGACCCTACCAACACGCACACACACACACAGACATTTGCGCAATGCACATCAAACTACAATAACAATTGTCATTAACATACATTGATGAGCTGAGCGCCCGATTTGCCATTGGTTAAGTACTTTATTTGACCAGGATTTCTTTTTTTGGCTCTGTCTCGTAAACCGCAAGTAAACTTAATTAGGCTCACGATTGCAACAGCCACAACTGTTGTTATTGTGTGCGTGCGTGTGTGGATGTGGTGTGCGTGGATGTGTGTGTGTGCTTTAATGTGGTTTACCCACATGACTTGGGCAGCATACGCATTGCTTTTGTTTATTTCTTGTCCGCAGTTCACGCACATGCGGGTTGCCCTGCTAAATGTTTAACTGTAATTAACCCACACACACACACACACACACACACATTAAGTGAACAAAATTATTGCATTGCCTGGCTTTGTATTGGTTTAAACGTTTAGCGCTGCGGTCACACTGCCGAATTGTGTGAGCTTTAATTGAATGTTTCTCAACACAGCAAGCTGATATTGTGCAATTGTTAGGTATTTAAATTTATGGACAGTGTTGATAAAGGCCTCAACGCAGAAATGTTGATAAATGCCACTTAGACGAAAATATAATTGCATGTAGATAGTATTTCAAATTAAAATAAACGCTGCACAGTTTCGATTTTGGAAATATATTACCAACTTTTACAGATGTATGGTCTCTTTAATTTATATTCAACTTTTAAATATTTGAGAATGTTTAGTGTTGATAAATTTCATTTAGACGAAAAAAAATGAAAATAGATAGTGCTATAATTCAAATTAAAATAAACGCTGCACTGTTTCGTTATTGGAAATATATTATTAACTTTTGCAGATATAAGCTCTCTTTAATTTATATTACACTACAAATATATGTTTGGGAGTGCTCAGTGTTGACAAATGCTTCGTGTTAATAATTGGTATTATAATTCAAATTAAAATAAACGCTGGCATAGCTTAACTTCTCACAATAATGTGTGATTACTTTTAAACACTTTATGTTGCCCGCCATTTCGCTGCACTTTTGAAAGTACTCTCAGAAAATCGGATTATTTGGGCAAGTAAATTGCCATTGAGTGCAGCTACTTATTCGTGTTTACACAAAGAGTGCTTGCCATGCCAGTTGCCACAAGTTGTGGGGACCCCTTGAATTGGCCCTGCACCTGGCTCATCGCTCATCTAGCAAATTGATAAGAATGCCAAGTCAGCTAACTTCTTGACTTAAAGCTGGAGGCACACTGCCAGGGCTTGTTAGACAAATAGCCGTTTGCTAGTCAATTAAGGGCAGCAGCTAAATATTTTATTACCGAGTCGACGTTTGTCTTGATTATGCTTCGGCGCATGGTGGTGTAGGCGCATAACTAATTGAAAACTTGCTAAACTTTCTGCTCATTAATAATAAGTCAGAACCGAAACGGGACCAAAACCGGGACTTGTCTCACTGTGTTTGCCAAGGATTCAAGTTTGAGTCTTTTGTGTCGCCCGCCGCTGCCCGTTTGATTTGTTGGAAATGATTTAATTACTTATTGCGAAGCGTTCAAAAGCTTTTATTAAGTTGAATGCCCGCCCGTTGGCCGCACTAAACACGCGTATTAGATTAATGTTCTGATTACTGCAGATGCCACGCCCCCCACCACATCCCACACACTTTTGTAGGCTATTTGTTAACCGTGTTCTGAGGCGTTAACGAGGCCCTTTCTCATGCTCTGCTCGATGTGGGGCTTCCGAATGCAGACGGGTACGAAGGCTGCCAGGGGGCCAGACATTGAATTATGCATATTTCGTTGCACAACACTGGCAATTTATTCATTTAACACAAGTTGCCGGAGATTCTAGTTGGCGTTGGGCGGTGTGGCGAGGGGTAGCGCCAAGAAAGCCAAGAAAGCCAGTCTGAATGGCAACGGGTGACCCCCAATATAACAGCCAGCAAAAGTGAAACATATTATTTAAGAAAAATGTTAAAATAATTTTTACAAATTTAAAGATCTAACTTTTTTCTAATTTTATCACCCCTGAATTTTTATTTTACATTTTCGAGCAATTAAATAATAATATTTACATGTTAAATGCATAAAAATTGATGAAGCATTACAAAAGAATGTCAAAAAACATGCAAATCGAGTCTTGTCAATTATTTAATTTATTCTCGGGTAAACTATTAAAGACAGCTGTAGCTATTAGGCAAATTACACTGTACTAGATGCTATAGAGTATAATATGTTGCACATGCCTTAAATACAAGTATTTGATGAAACCCCATTAGTGTCTTGATAGAAATTGGAAATTGTTTTTTGTTGCACCTGCAGAGCAGCACGTTGCAGCTGGCCCAGGGAATATGTGCGGCCAAGTCTGGCAAAATGGTAAAAGGGCACCTTTATATACATATATATATACATAAATAAATAAATTTACGCAATTTTCTGATTACTTGCAGCAACACAATAACTTTGCTGGGTTCAATGCAATTAAATCAATTGCGTTACGTATACGCAACGTGGTGCATGCCATAACTGGCCATGAACAGTTAGCAGTTGAAAGCGGAAGCGGAAGCGGAGACGAAGGCGTGGTTAACTGGGGCAATTTGCATGAGAAGCGGCTAACGAGGCCCTCAGCATAAGTGAATTATTGTACAAGTTTTGAACAAATTCAATTAAGAACGTTGCAAAGTGCAAACAAAAATTACATTTTTAATTGGAAAATTGCAATAAACTAGAAAGCACTCGAGAGGGCAAAGGTCGAACCGAGCACTGATTACCTGCGCGCCACGCGGCACAGCGGATATTCCTTCAGCTTCAGCGAGATATTGCCCTTGACCAGCAGCTGCTCCAGTCGTGCATCTGTGCTGATGCGATAGCGGCGAAAGATCTTGGCCAGCAGCAGCTTCATCAGCAGCTGGGCATAGCGATAGCCGATGCACATGCGCAGCCCCTTGGTGAAGGGCACAAAGGCGAAGGCATGACGCGCGGGCGCCTCCGTGCCAAAATGTGCCTCCGGGTTGTAGCTTCTGGCCAGCGGACCCCAGACGCGCACATCGCGCTGCATGTTATAGATGTCGATGCCGATTTGAGTGCCGCTTGGTATGAGGTAGACACCATCATCGCGGCGCACCTGTAAATCCTGTCCAGCTCGACGCAGCACCATGGGCACGGGCGCAAACAAACGCATCGACTCGTTAATGGCCATCTCCGTGTAGCTTAGCCTCTCAAGCTGCTCCAAGCTAATGTCACCATGGTCCGGCAACTCGGCGCGGAGCTCTTCGTGCAGCTTCTCCTGATATTCCGGATGCATTGCCAGGCATAAAATTGTGAAGTACAATGCCGTCGATGTTGTCTCGAAGGTCTATAGCGTTTCGGATAGAATTGAAAAGCACGCATATAAATCCTATTTCTTCTACGTATATAAAGCTGTTTTTTTTTTGACTGATTGATTGATTGATTGATTGACTGACTGGTTATTTGATTGATTAATCGGCCCGCATGAACCCTTCATTTTTACTACGTATATATAGCTGTTTTTCATGACTGATTGATTGGTTAATTAACTGATTGATTGGTTGATTGCTTGATAGGCCCGCATTTAACTACCATTTCTTCAATATATATGTTTGTTGATTTACTAACTTCCATTTCCTCTATATATAGAACTATTTTTCTCAACTAATCCAACGGTTGACTGATTGATTGAATATTTTTTGATTGATTGATTCATTTATTGATTAATAATTGATTAATTATTGACTAATTGATTAATGGTTGATTAATTGATTGATCAAGGCTCTCGAGTGAGAAAGCGCAAATTCTTTCAGCAGTAACATTGGAATCGTAGTTTGGGAGGGAATTTCAACTCTTGTAGTATGTTTAAATAAGGAAAAACTGAAATTTAAGGAATAAGCCTTAGACCTGCCAAAACCGGGTAATGCCTGCTAGTCGTCTAGTAAGTTAAGGAGCTCTACTTCTTACATGTTCTTTCTGTATCATTCACATATGTTATTAGCCTTATGTATTATTGGCTTACTCACCGCCGCAATAATCACATTCGCCTCATCTCGCACATCCTGCCAGCTCATTTGCTGTCCACGTTCCACATGCTCTCGTACCTGTTCAATAAATATCGACTTTGACTTGATGCGCTGTTGTTGTTGTTCCTGCTGTCGTTGCTGCTGATGCTGTTGCTGCTCCAGATGCTTGTTCGCATCGGAGCCATCCACGCCCACAACAGAAACGGCTGGCTGCAGCAACTGTGTCGTTTGACGACGAGCACATGGAAGTCAGAGCAAGTCATGAGCAGGAAACAGGCAAAGAGGGGGCGAGCAACGCCCACTAACATACCTGCTCCACAAAACCAAACAGCACGCCGACGACCTTCTGTTGCCGGTCAAAAAGTCGCGACCATCGATAGATGAGCTCCGGGTAAAGCCAAGGCGAGAGCATCCGCTTGACACACACCTCCGTTATACTGCAAACAATAGGAAAATGAACATAGGGGGAATCTACAAGCACACTTAGAGAAAAAAACTATGCGCTTTGTACTTAAATCAATCACAAATTTTATGAAAGTCCGGCCAAGGTGCTAATGAACTTATATGGGGCACTCGTAGTGTCCGGCCTTGCCCGTGGCACGTATTAAATTAATCCCTCAAAGATGTTTGAAAATGAGCTTAAGGCCGATCGACTGGTAAGCAAACAGTTTCATACAAATGTTTTTCACGATTTTTCCACACTTGCGTGTGGAATTTTTCCGAAACCTCGTCTTAACATGCACCTTCATCACAAAAAGTAATTGCAAATTTCGACTCACTAGCTATTACGGGCTAAGCAAGATAAAAAGTTTTTTATATATTTCGATTTAACACCCGTGTTTTCTCCGAGTGTGCCCGTGGGATTTTGACTACCCAGGCCGCCACCCGCTGGCCCCTCCCTAGCGCCAGCTCGTGTCGCAAGGTATTAGCCCTGGTTGAATGGCTGCAGGATTGTAATTAGCTAATAGGTAAAAACAAATGGGCGGGGCCAGCCCAGCCAGATGGTATCTCTGGCAGTCGCAGTGAAACAGATTTGAAACGCAATCGAGCATAGAATTGGAACGCATAAGAAGCTTATAAAATGTGTTCACTTTACTTAAACGAGATATTTATAGAGCTGGCTCTTATATCTTATTTTCCTATTAACTACTTAGTTATTTATTTATGCCAGTAAGTGTCTATATTTTGGGTAGGCATAAAGGGAGAGTAGTTATAAACATGTTCCATCTCATCGTTTTCGCATGTCTTAATACTCACCCATTATATGCCTCGAAGATGGCCAGCGAACCATCGTGCTGAAAGTTCATTCTCTTGCCCATAGTTGTCTCTGTGCCAAAAAGAAGTGCCCACATAAATCGCAAAGATTCCTCTGCATTGAATTATTACTTACGGCAGGCAGCCTCCAGCACGATTTTTTTGAGTATTTGATAGATTTCGAGGCTTTTAGCGCGCTGCACGCCCTCCAGGTCCAGCTTCTCCAGCAACACATCCGCCTCGGCATTGAATATGGGCAAAAAGTTGCACAGAATCTGGCGACCGAAGGCGGGATTAATGAGGCGACGATGTTTTTGCCAGCGTGGCGCTAGGAAATAAGCACAAAGCGTTTATAAGGAGGTAATTATTAAATATTATAAATAAGTAGTATGATATTTTTACTAAAATATGAAAATCTGGGAAAAATTTACTTAATTCAAAAACTTATCCCGATCCCGAAAGTTCTAAAGTCAGGACTTAATTACAATAATCAGTCTAACAAATTCTGTAAATCCAAAATCCAAATGTATGTAACAGGCAAAAGGAAGTATCTCCGACCCCATCAGCATCAATAGCCGAGTCGATCTAGCCATGTCCGTCTGTCTGTCTGTACGTACTCCTAGTGCCTGCGCAGATTGAGTTTCCGATAATCGATAACTTACTCCGTTTCCAAATAATCGATAAGAATCGATGTCGATATGCTGTTTTTGGGCAATTTTGGAAAGCAATTTTGGAGAGCGATTTAAGAGCTAGAGTCACCAAACTTAGCCTATAGCTTCTAAAATAGAATTTATATACATGTTGGAAGAAGAGGGTTCAGGGTATCCCCTAGTCGGGAGCTCCCGACTAGAACCTCTTGCTTGTTTACCTTATTTTACGTCTATAACTCCTTAAATAGTATGTTTTTTACTTAACGCAACTATGAATGTAGTCAAACCCTAGTCAAAATTTACTTAAGCTGAGAATAAACTTATCAGTTCAAGAATACATTAATTATTCTAAAAAATACCTTTACCTTTTTAAAAAAACTAGAAGCAACGAACTTTGTAAAAGCCTATCTAAATTTACCTAAGCTGCGAATAAAATTCTTTATGCGAAATTGCATAGAAATTCTTAGAGACAGTACTCAATTTAAGAAAAGTTGTACTGAATTTAGAATATATCAATATATCAATATATCTCTGAGTGTACTTACAGCTGGATGTGAAGAGTCCATCGCCAATGGCTGCGCTCATGAAGCGATAAAAATCTCCCTTGTTGGTGCAGTGCGTTGAATTGAAGATTTGCTCCACGGTTTGTGGGTCGTTGACATAGAGGAAACAATTGGTGCCCATCCAGGAAATGAAGGGCGCCTTGTACTTGTGCGAAAGCCCATCCATATACTGCAAAAAGGCTACAGGCGAAAATGGTTTGCAGTTGGCTTAGATTTCCGGAGCACTTACTCTGCGGATTCATCATTTGCAGGCCCATGCCAATGAAGGGCCAGCCCACGGGGCCAGGCAGCTGCCAGGCGGCCCAATAGTAGCGTCTGCGACTCCACAGAAAATATAACCACAACAAAGTCAGCCAGCTGGCCAGAATGATGCAGGCCAGCATGTCGTTGAACTGGTAAGAGTCCCCAAATCGAATCGAATCGTATCGAATTGAATCGAATAAATATGTTAAGCGCACCACGCTCAAAATAATACTGAGCGAGAGACATGCAAGTCCGGCTCAGCCCATTCAGCTTTGTATATGTTGTCGGAGATTACGCATTTGGGCGACGTAATGCGGCAATCTCCATGCCCGCCACGTGCCACGCTCTACGCAAATGCATCCATTGGGAGGCCAGTCGCGTACATCCACAAATTATGCCACTGAATAATATGCCATAGGCATATTAGAAACCGGTAAACCTAGACAAAACTCATGCGTCTGTGGCTTGAGAACACACAAATACGCTTATAATTCATATTTGTAAATAGCTTGCATTTGAATCAATACGTTTGTAAATGATAGGATTTTCGATGAAAAATATTGCATCGATAATAGTTGCATTATCTGAAAGTTGTATTATGAATATTAACATAATAACATTTTAGCATTATATTTGCAAGTAACTTACAAATGAATCAAGTGAATCAAACTTACAAATGAATTAAGTGAGTCAAATGTTGGTATTTGGATTATATACTTTACGAATAAGAAAATAAGAAATTAATAAGACTATACTTAAGGGTCCAGCAGCAAATTAATATTTACAAATAACTTACAAGTGAATCAAATGACTTTGTATTCGAATTAAGTTTTGAATTTGATTCTATTCATATTTTTTAAATTATTATTAAGAGAAATATGATTGCGGTTAGCTTTAAAAATTATATTAATTCTCATTTGATATATCTAAACAAATATATCAAGTGAATCAAACTTACAAATGGATAAAGTGAGTCAAAATGATTTGGTATTTGAATTAAATAGTTGGTTCAATCAATCTTACTCTAGAAATATTACGAAATTAATAAGACTATACTTAAGGGTCCAGCTGCAAATTAATATTTACAAATAACTTAGAAGTGAATCAAGTGAATCAAATGACTTGGTATTCGAATTGAGATTTGAATTTGATTCTACCAATATTGTTTAGATTATTTTAAATGGATAAACAACTACGGATTAACTTTGAAAATTATATAATATCTAAACACGCAGTTTATTTTGGCTACAGACACTTCTACTTGTAATTGTTACACGATTCAGTTAAGTGCCACAATTAAAAAAGGACTCAACTAAATAAAGGAAATTCATTTCAAAGGAATAAGTTATAATTACAATGCGTATAAGCTGGACATTCAGATAGTATTTGGGTTAAAACTGCACGAATATAATCATTAAAACTCATGAACTTAAAAACTTTAAATGGTAAATGATTCCATTTTTGATGGGATATATGCGACATGGCAATGGGTTATGAATGAGAAAATTTCGTTTTGAATTTTTGAATTTGGTTACACTATTTTCTTCAATGAGTTAAACAATATAATACCCTAACCAAGGTATCCACAAAATATTCCATTAATTACTAATATATACATATGTTTATATTAATATACGTAATAGTAGTAGGATTTGAATGAGATTACATTGATTATTTTTTTAATTTGGGTAAGATATATTCTTCTATATGTCAAACAATATAATACCCTAACCAAGGTATCCACAAAATATTCCATTAATACGTGTAGTAAGATTATTCAAAATAATAATAAGGCTGCGTAGCCCAATCCTCTTACGCTAAAAAAAAAACTGTTGAAAATTCGTGGTCAAACTTACCCGTAAAATCAATAGGCCTCGACATGTGCCCATCGGAACTTGTGTAGGGTGTGGCGAATTGCTTTAGCATTGCATGTTATGAGCTGATTTTGATTAAGTAATTGGTTAATTATTGGTTCGATGGGCACTACGAGGTAGATATTTTCGAAATGGGTGTCAAGTATTATGGGCCAATGGCTGTGTAGAGTTCTTCAAATATATTATTTATTCACTATTCATTTGTTGCTTTTTACAAATTCTTCAAGTTAAGTTTAACAATTTAATTTGTTTTCCATACCATAATTTCTTTACCATTATTTTAGGTTTTAATTCTTATTAAATGTTTTGTGGTGTTTTCTTTTCACATTATTTTTGGATAATTTTTTTGATATTTTTCATTTTTTGCTCTTGTCCTCAAGTCGATAGAGTTAAGAGAGGAGATTTAGTAGAAGCCGGTTATTTTTGTATAGTTAGTTAGTAGCTTTGCTTAAACTGAGTACAGTGCGCAAAAATAACTCTTGCAGGCCAGAAATTTTGTCTGTATTTCTTTTTGTTAGCAATCTCTGCACTTAGGATATCGTACTATATCGAGGTTCGCTTAATTCCTAGGCTGGCCCATGCTGGCTTTACGGATAAGCTTAGTTTGTGTTTAAAAAGTTCTGCGAATATTTAGCTTTGTTTTTTTATGGACGTTGCGTTTTCACTTTGAGTTCTCATTTCATTCATTTTTGACTTTCTATAAGCAAGTAGCTAGTTTAAAAGGCAATGGGATTATTGGATACTGTTTTGCCTGGGCCTTAGCATATGCCTATTATTTTGCTTTGACTACTTTATCTGACTTGCAGTTACAATATTATAGTATAGTAATATTGATATATATTTATTAATATGCTACTAATTATGTTTATCCGCTCTCGTATCTGTAGTATATGCCTATATACAAATCACATACGCCTAAACAACTTCTGCTTTTGCTTACTGCATTTGTTTACAAACTTTTATACACGTTTTATTGTCAAAAAATATGACGACTCGCGACTCAACGATTGCACTGCCTTAGTTCAGATTCAATTTTGTAAGTTTTACTTGCATGAAGGGGGGGCTAGCATCTAGGGTTCTACGGCAGGGAGTGGATTTTACGAGTACTTTAGCATATATATTACTTTAATTATATCTGTTAGAAACTTTTCACAAATTGCATTTGCAATTTATACCCTTGCTAAGTGTTCTTACTACGATCCTGACATTGAAACAGTTCTGCTAAAGGACTTGCAACTGGATGGTGCAAACACCCTCACAGATTCGAACAATCTATGGACTTAACTAATAAATACATCAGATGCTTTCAAATACAGTTACAAGTTCAGCTTAAATCCATTAAAAACCACTTGAGATCAAATTCGTATTCAGTGAGAAACCTTTGCTAAACGATCTTATCTTTGCAAGGGTATACAGGCTTCGACTAGCCGACTAGCTTCCACTACAAACATACACTCTCGTCCATAATTATGTATACATATATGTATTTTATAATATTTTATGCTAGAGCAAATTTAATTGCCATGCATTTGTTTTTGCTATGCTTTTGTTTTCTGTTTTTTTACGCTTATTACAAAAATATTTTTGTTTTATTATTCAATTATGCGGCTAGTTGATGGTGTTGTTGTATTTGCTTTGAGGCTTAGCGCTTAATATGCATTCATTATATGCGTAAGCTGGGCGAAAAAAAATCAAATGAAAACAAAAGTAAATAAATACATATGATTAATACGCTGCGGGCATACAAAGGGGTATTCTGATTTTTGGACGCTGTCTGCAGCCGTGTGTGTGTGTGGCTTTAGTTGTTCGTTTTTTGCACTTTATATGCAAAATTATATAAATATATATATATTATATATATATATATATGTATATGTATACAAAATAAACTTTGCTTTTGGCTTTCACATTGGCGCTTGCATAAATATTAATCGAAAAGACATTGGCAATATATTTTTGAGACGGGATTTTAGACGGTGCAATTGCTTGTGTGTGTGTGTGTGTTGAAATGGGCGTGGTATGGCCATGTATATAAGCGTAGCTGTGTCTACATGTGCGTGTTGTGTGTGTGTGTGTGTGTGTGTGTGTGTGTGTGTGTAAGCTTGGCTAAGATATTCTATATAAACTAGCTGACGCGTTTTACATTATTTAATTATTATATTATTATGATTTTAGTTTATATCGTCATTATTTTTTTTTTTTTTTTTACTTAGGCACAATACATTTATTTTATTTTGTTTACTTTTGTTTATTTTTCACAAGCTGCAATTGTGTATTTTTTATAAATATATTTTTAGGTCTTACAATCTAAATACTACGCATAAAAACGTGTGTAGTTGTCAGTGTCAGTGAATGTGTGTGTGTTAATTTGTTGTTTTTAATTATTATAATTATATTTTATTGGATTAATTTTGTGTTGATTTTCATAATTTTTCTACAATTTAAAAAAAATGCAGCCACTTGGCAAATGTTTAAAGCTTTTTACTTAACTTTCATATGCAAAACAAACATTTATAGAATGTTTACGGATAAACTAAATATAAATCATATTGAATGTTGTATTTACTTGTTGTTTATGGCTATTTCGTAGTTTGCTTTAGTTAACAGTTTCTGTTTAATTGGCGTGTACAAATTTTACAAATCTCGCTTTTAATTTTTGCAGGTTGCAGTTAACAACTATAAACAAAAGCCATAAATTTCAAATGCTAGCTCACTTAACTTAAAAGAAAAGGCATTACTTTATGTTTCACTACAACATAAAAATAAACATTTTATACGCATTTTACAAATTGTTTTATCTTCTTTTTTTTTTTTTTTTTTTGCTTATACTCACTGTTGCTTTTTGTTTTTGCTTTAACAAAATACGCGCTACGTTTACTACGAATGCTACAAAGTAGACAACAATTTTTGTTTTAAGTTTTTCTTTCATTTTTTTTTGGGGTTTTTTTATGTTTTGTTTTTGAATAGTTTGCGTTTTGTTGTTACTGTTTTTTTGCTTAGTTAATTTATGACTTTAGTCTGACTCGCACTTCAGATTAACTTTCCGCGGGCTGGTTGGTTGTAAACTGCGTAATGCCATCGCTCTCCATGGACTCGAGCACATCGGCCACATAGGCGGCGACATCCGTGTGGCTGTTCTCGCCCCTCCGTATGAATGGCATCTGCAGCAGTCGGCTATATTTGGGCCTATCGCTCTCCTTCTTGATCAGGCTGCGGGTATTTATAGGAAAATATACATTTGTTCATTTGCTGAGTAACTGGAAAACTCTTACCAAGTATTGACAAACTCTGCGAACTCCATGGAGAACTCAATGCCATTATAGGATGTATGCAAGCGCGGCGGATCCCCTTGCACTACCTGTAAGATAAGTTGTGTATGTCGAGCACTTAACCCATTTGCAATGACAAACTCTTACCTGGCACAGCTGCTCAAATACCGAATCCCATTTGCGATAGGGAAACGTGCCTGTGGCCACCTCCATTAATGTTATGCCCAATGACCAAACATCGCTGCGCACATCATAGCCCTTGGCGCGCTCCGGATCAATGCGTTCCGGCTGCAAAAGGTTACAAATTTATACTAATTCAATTAGCAGACAGTTGCATTAAAACCTACCGCCATGTAGGGCCTGCAGCCCGCATCTTTGGTCTTGGCTATCGAATCGACTAGCTGTCCGGAGATGCCAAAATCACATAGTTTAATGTCGCCGCGTCTGTGCAACAGAATGTTGCTTGGCTTAACATCGCGATGTATTATTTTGAGCTCCTCCTTCAAATAGTTAAGCGCATTGACTGTGGCCACAGTGATCTTGGCGAGTATGGACTCGGGTATATGCCGCTGCTTCTTCTCGAATATGTATTTATAGAATTTGTCCAGCGAGGTGTCCATTAGCTCCATGCATATCCAGCAATCGCCCTCCTTGAAGAGCGCCCCATAGAACTGAACAATGTAGATGCATTCGTTCGACTTCATGACCACCTCCAAATCCATGAGCAACTGTTTCTGCTCTTTCTCGTCCACCGTGGAACGTATGCGCTTCACAGCCATCACCTTGTCCAACTTCTTGAATATCATTTTATTGACCGCACCAAATGCACCGCGTCCAATCTCGCCCAAATCTTCCAAATCGTCCGATGTAAACTGATGTGTATTGATGGCACCTTCACCAAACTGTAGTTTGCCACATGCCTGCTGTCGGATGCGCTCCCTATGCCGATCCGTTGCGCTGCCGCTGGTGCCGGCGCTGGCATTACTATTGCTGCTGCTACTGCTGCTGTGGGCTGTGGGCACCGGCACAGCTGGCACAAAGCTGGGCTGGGCGCTAAAGCGTAAAGCCACATTATTCTGCTGCGATGAGGAACTGGAGCCCGACGACGTGGATCCCGACGATGTGGACGACGTTGATGAAGGCGGATGTCGTATGCTCAGATTGTTCAGATTAAGCTGATCAGGCGGTATGCGAGAACGGCTCGGTCCAGCTGTTTGCGTTAGCATTTAGATAGGGTGAAAATGGTTATTTATGATCTACGGCTTATCAATTGCATTGCGGCCAAGTAAATGCGTCAGTGGTACATGCATGTGATTGTGTTTGTGTGTGTGTGTTGTGTGTGGCGTGTGTATGCATATGTGAAACACACATATGTGTGTGTGCGTGGGTACGTGTACGTGTGCGTGGGCAGTTTTAGCCAAAAAATTACTCACTTGCAAACAAATTTTTGGGCCTTTCTGCCATTGTGTACGCCTGGCGCTGATCTTGCTGGCAATTTTAGTACGAGTGTCGCTTTGTGCCCGTCGTTTTGTTCTTTTCTGTTGGGCGCCGCGCCCCAAATACACGTCGCTTAAGGGGGCGCCGAAAATATTTTCGCAGCGAAAACTACTGGCGGAGCATATAACACACCATAACCGCCGATTGGTTGCGTGGTAACACTTGAGTACGCAGCTCAATTATTTGTTAAATTGTCCCGTGCACATCTATGCTCTTTGCATTTTCACACTTTCGTTTTACATAAAAATAGTCTAAAAAAAAACAATAAAAAGTCAGCAATGCAACAAAATATGCAGTGTGACCGAATCTGATAAGACTGAAAATAGCGACTTAAAATACCGAAAATACCAAAACAGGTCTGTGATATTTAACTCTGTTAAATGTACGGTCTAATTTTGTTGTTCTCTGTTAAACTCAAACAATTTGGCCGCTTATCTAAAAAGAACAAAGCCAAGTATACATATAAATTGGACCTTATGATAAAAACAAAAAATTTAGCTTTTTTCTTAAGCAACTGATCTAGAAATAAAGATTATTTTTCCAGGAATAAAGTTATGCTCGCTGTTAAAAACAGAGCCGCACGCTGTTAGTCTCTCAACATTGTTGTCGTAGTAAACAAAACAATTTGAGATTTATTAAAATTACGTAAAAAAATACAATATAAATCATGTCCGGCAGTGCGGCACGGAGCAGCTACAAACTCTTTGTGGGCAATCTTCCCTGGACTATCAGCAATAAGGAACTGCGCACATATTTCTCCCGTTTCGGCCATGTGGCCAATGCCGAGGTGATCTTCGACAAAAATCTGGGCCTGTCCAAGTACTACGGCTTTGTGATGTTCAGCCAGCGCGACGCCTACAACAGTGCCAGCAACCAGAACACACATCTCCTAGAGGGACGCGTGCTCAACGTGCAACGAGCCAACGAGCATACATAGCTTTAGTGAAGTAACGCATTGTAATCAAAATATACACACAATTTTATTACTTGGATGAGGGCAGATATTTGGTGTAGTTGGAACCTACAGCGTCCTTGACGCACGCGTAGCCCAATTCGCTGATCCGCAGTGAGAGCTCCCCCTTAATGCGTTCTACCAGTTCAGGGCCCTCGTATATGAGTGCTGTGTAGATTTGAACAAACGAGGCGCCAGCCTCAATTTTCTCAAAGGCATGCTGACCGGATGCAACACCACCCACGCCTATGATGGGCAGGCTGCCCTTGGTCAGTGAATACATCTGGGCGATTAGCCTGGTCGAGCGTTCCCGCAGCGGTTCTCCACTCAAACCGCCCGCCTCGCTGGCCAATGCCGGGTCGCTGATGTTGTCGCGCGCGACGGTGGTGTTGGACACAATGAGACCATCCACGCGGCATTTCTTCTGGTTGATGACGGCGACAATGTCATTGAGCTCGCCCGTTTCCAAATCGGGCGATAGCTTCAGCAGAATAGGCACTTTCTGGTTCGTCTTGAGCTGGCCACGAGCTATATTGACTGCCTCCAGCAGTTCGGTGAGCTCCTTTTTACTCTGCATGTTGCGCAGTCCCTTCGTATTGGGACTGCTGACATTCACAACCAGATAGTCGGCGACAGGTCCAAATGTGTGAACACCCTTTACATAGTCATTAATTGGAGTCAGTGTGTCACGATTGCGGCCTAGATTAACGCCCACAATGGCATTGAAGTCCTCACGTTCACGAATTTCCTTTAAGCGCTGCGCCACCACACCGTGACCATCGCTATTGAAGCCATAACGGTTGATTAGGGCCCGGTCGCTGACCAACCGAAAGACTCGCGGCTTTGGATTGCCGGCCTGGGCCAGGGGTGTCACACTGCCCACCTCAATGAAGCCAAAGCCCAAATCCTTCAGACCCAGCACAGCTTCACCGTTCTTATCGAAACCGGCTGCAATGCCAATGGGATTGCTAGCGAGGCGACCAAAGAACGAGCTGTGCAAATTGAGATCGTCCGTGTACTTGGAGGCCGGGTAGAGGCGGTACTTGCACGCCAACACCGCCAAATTGTGGCTCGTCTCGGCCGGCAGCAGACGCACTGCAGGCATGACAAATGTGCGAAATAGTTGATCCTGATTGTGGTAAGCCGTTAGGCCCATATAGAGGGCCGTGGCGCCTACCGTCACAATGCCCAGGGAGCGTAGGCGGCTCTGTGAGATCCGTAATATTGTTTAATACATATACATTTATTTTCTTTCAAATATTTGTATAGCTCACCAATTTTTGCGTCTTTTGCAACACCATCTTAATAAACGTTGTGAACTGAATCATTTTTTTTTTTTTGATGAATTTTTAAAACTAGTTAACAGGTGGTGCTCGTATCGACAGATGTGTGGATGGTTGAGGCTAGGTACAGAAATGTTAGCTATATCTGTTATATTTTCAAATTCAGAAAGGTGTGATTAGAGATGAAAATGTTTGAATTGATATAACTACATATTGGAAACAAACGGTTTGAATATAACATATAGTCGTTATGAGCCGGTTCACAGCTGAGCTAAAAGGTATTGAAAGGCATGAACGGAACCAATCAACTCCAATGATGAGTCAGTCTTTGTTTGCTTTCTGTTATTGCACCTCAACAAATTGCACATATGAGCCAGCATAAATAAAAATATAAAAATGAATGGTGGCACATTTCGGAACACACCATAGGATTCCACGCTGCCGAAATCACAAATTGTGCCCGGGCAGTGGGATTAGAAATGAAAATGTTTGAATTGATATAACTGTATATTGGAAACAAACAGTTTGGCTACATATAGTCGTCATGAGCCGGTTCACAGCTGAACGGAACCAATCAACTCCAATGATGAGTCAGTCTTTGTTTGCTTTCTGTTATTGCAGCTGGACCAATTGCACACATGAGCCAGCATAAATAACAATAAATACAATTATATTATATTAATATGAAAGGTGGCACATTTCGCAACACACAATGGGATCCCACGCTGCTGACATCCCAGATTGTGTCCATGCAGTGCTGCGTGTACTTCTCGCTGGGCCTGCTCGTGTTTGTGGCCAACAAGTTGGCTGGCGACAACTACACACTGGATCACCTTTTCGAATACCATGTATGTAGTTAGCCTAAGCAGGACGCCGTTTTTGTTGAGTGTACATATTCTTCGTTCCAGGAAATACATATTTATGATCTGGGCGGTCGTCTGGTCATCTGCGCTTTTGTGTTAAATGCTTTTGTGGCCTCCTTGGCGCTCTGGTGCATTGTTCGCCGCGCCAAGCTGTGCCTGGACTTCAGGTAGATACATATCAGTATATATATATATATTCAATTGACTTACACAACTCTATTGCAGCTGCACTTTCCATTTGGTGCATCTGATCATCTGCTGGTGGTACAATCGCTCCTTTCCCGCCAACGCCTCCTGGTGGCTGCTTAATGTGATTACCGCAACGATAATGTGCATAGGCGGCGAGTTTTTGTGCCTGCAAACCGAAATGAAGGAGATTCCCGTGGGCTATGCGGCGCTCAATCAGAAGTCGGACGTTTGAGTGAACCCACAGATAGATAAACCATGTGATTGTGATGCTAACCAAGCCACCCAATTACTCTAAACATACTTTTAATTTATTGTACAACAATTTAAGTATATATAAACGCTAATGCAATATCTGATATATGTAGGGCGCGCCACGCTTCAGGTTCAGCTCCTTGGGCACCGTCTGTGGTGGCATAAAAAACTTCAGCTCCGCGGCTGCCGGATCGCTGGATGGGCTGCCATTGTGCCTGAACAGCTGCCAGATGTGCAGCTGGCTCGGCACCAGATACCAATAGCTGAACATGAGCCCGAACGAGACGATCAGCGCGCCAAGCAGCAGCAGCGTCCAGCATTGCGTGCGTTGTGACTTCTGCATGATGTGCCCTCAACTAAGAGCTTCTTCTGAAAACAAGTCGAATTGACAGAAAAATAAAAACGCTTTGCAATCGACTAAGCAAACACACCTTTTGCTTTTGCGAACAACCAGACGCTTCAATTTAGCTATAGATACAAAAACAAAGAAACAAAAAAAAAAAAAAAAGAGCAGCAGAAGTCAGCTCCTCCTTAATTTAGCCACCGCAACAATGCAGCCTAATCAGGTTTTCCAAATCTAATCAGACACTAATTGGCTCGACGATCCAGCGCGAGCTTTCGCTGAATTAATGGTAATTGAAGAGCGGGCGAGCTCGCCACAAAAATGTTATTTTTTTATTGTTGAATTTTAAATAAACTACGTTGGACACAACTGCGCATATGGAAATGGACTTCTCTGTGATTCGCGGACAGAATATCAAAAACCGTTAGCTCTCACGCTCACTCTCTCTCTCTGTCTCTCAGTTGTAAACATAACAGCAAAGAAGAGTCACCGTCAGCGAACAGAGGATTGTATACCCTAGGCTTCTTAATGTATGAAATAAATATATTAATATATTCATTTTTTGTATATATTGGAACCAGATTTCCTCTTTTGGGGCCACGAAACACAGATAGACATAGAATGGGAATAATATTTCCTATACATTTTTCAATTTATTTACTCCACGACACTCCTGTGCGTTACACACGTCTTGACAAGCTATAATACCCTCTGCAGGGGCACATATACAAGAGGGTATTTCCGTCTTTGTAAAGATGAGTAGATTCTTGTTTATGGTTTGGAACCTTTAAATAAAACACTGCTGTTTTCCATTTGCTAAATTATTCAGTTTATTTTTAGCAAACTTGTTTTTTTTTTTTGGTTTTAAATGATTTTCTTGTATTTCGTGTTTGTGTGTGTGGTTTATATTTATATATATATATATATGTATATATAACTTTACCAGTTATACGTTTTCTTTAAAATCATCAATTGAAGTTCATGCTTTATCAATTGTTAATCGCTTATCGCTTAAAGTTTTGTTTCGTTTTCTTTTTATATATAAAGATATATATATATATTTATATCGATTTCAATATTTGAAAGAGAAAATATGCGAGAGGGAGGGCGGGTGCGTAAAAGTTCACTTTTACTGGACAAATATAATTCAGATTGCCCTTTTTGTTAAATTAAATCCTTATGTTTCTGGCTCGCGCTTTGCTCTAGCATAACTATATATTTTTTTTTGTTTATGATAATTATTAATATTATTTGTTTATGAGCCTATTTTTATGCGCGCGTGTATTTGTTTTGTCACACTACAATTCATAGTTTGTTGCAATTTTGTTGTTTCCAGCCATATATGCAAATGTATGTATGTATATATGTTGAATATTTAATTTTAAACAGTTTTTTTTAATTTTATTTGTAATGCTTTCTATTGTAATTGTGTGCGTCTGTGTGTGTGTGTGTATATGTGTGTGTGTGTGTGTGTGTTAATGCGTGAGTGTGAGTGTTGCGCTGCGCACAGACAGTTTCTCTTTCACATTTGCTGCCCCTATATATATATATATATATATATAGATATATATATATATATACATATATGTATATATATAGATGATACATATAATATGCAAATATATAATTAAGTTGTTGTCGATCGGTTCATCAAATGTTGCTCTGCTTTGCTCCTGCTCCTTGCTGTTTTTATCAGTTATTCTTTCTGTTGTTGTTGTTGTTTTTGTTGTTATTATTGACGCTAGTCGGGATTATGTGGACGCTGTGGATGCTGCTGCTGCTGCCGGCCCCTCTGGGTGACAGGCCTTGCTCATTGACCCCACCAATCGGGCCCGTTGTTTGAGTGCGAACCACCACCACCGCCGCCGCCGCCGTAGGAGCCGCCATATGAACCGCCGCCACCACCGCCGCCGTAGGCGCCACCGCCAGAGCTGCCGCCACCTGCCATAACACGGAATATATAATTAGAACATATGCACAACAGTATTTGGAATTTGTGCGTAGAGTTCACTCACCAAACTTACCATACGAGTTGCCATTGCTGCGATAGTTGCCACCACCACCGGCGGCGCCACCGCCGGAGCCAGTGCTGCGACCGCCGCCGCCGCCGCCAATACCGCCGCCGCTGCGTCCACCGCCGCCAGAAGATGTACGATAATCGCGTGAACCAAAGCCGCCGCCGTACCGTGAACCGGCACCGCCGCCGCGTCGCTTGGCGCCACCATGGCCGCGATCCGAGCTGAGCATCTCCTCAAGGAAGCCGGGTATCTCCTGTTTCGTTTCGATCAGCAACTCCAGCAGATCGGAGCAAATGTTGCGGTTTTTGTCATTGAAAAAGGATGTGGCAACGCCCAAATTGCCCATACGTCCGGTACGACCAATGCGATGCACATACTCCTCCACATCGGTGGGCAGATCAAAGTTAATGACATGTGTCACATGCGGAATGTCCAGACCACGTGCCGCCACAGCGGTGGCCACCAAAATGGGGCAGTCACCAGAACGGAAACAGCGCAACGCCTCCTCGCGCTCCTTTTGAGTACGATCACCATGTATGCTGGTCACCGGATGATTGCACTGATAAAGGAACTCTTCCAGAGAATCGGCACCCTTCTTTGTCTCCACAAAAATGAGCGTCAGATTGTCCTTGGAGTATTCCGGTCCATCCCGTATCGACGACAGTAGATCTAACAAATAGGAGCGCTTATCCTGATCGTATACCCACAATATGGTCTGGGTTATGTTCTCCGATGTGGAGCCAACACGTCCCACGGCCAAGAATATATAATTGCTGAGAAAATCGCTGGCCAGCTCCTGGATCTGTTTGGGGAATGTGGCCGAGAACATCAACGTCTGGCGCTGTCCCGTCGGCGGCATATTCAACTGTTCGACAATGCGACGAATCTGCGGCTCAAAGCCCATGTCCAACATGCGATCGGCCTCATCCAAGACCAGAAAACGTATATTCTCCAGACCCACCTTGCCGCGCGTTATCATATCCTCCAGTCGTCCAGGTGTTGCGACAATCAAATGACATCCCCGATCCAGTTCGCGCATCTGTTCGCTGGTATTGTTGCCTCCATAGAGCACAGCGGGACGCATGCGCGAGCGATAGGCGAACTTTTTGGCCTCCTCAAAGATTTGGGTGGCCAGCTCACGGGTCGGCGCCAGCACCAGGCCCAACGGGAACTGCTTGCGTCGGCTATATTGCCGATTGCTTTGCGGCGGCGCCGACAATCCATGCTCGTACATCTGATTCAGGATGGGCACAAGAAATGCAGCCGTTTTGCCAGAGCCTGTCTGGGCACAGGCCATCAAATCCCGTCCGCTGATTATAATTGGTATTGCGTATTTTTGCACCGGCGTCGGTTTATCATAACGCGCCAGATTCACATTGTTCCTTATGATCTCCGTCAGCTGCACATCATCGAACGATGTGATGTGCGGCGGCACGTTCTGGCCCGTCGCCTCCACGGGTATATCCTCGTATTTGTCAAAATTGATGCCCGTGTTGCCCACACCGAAGAGCTCCGTCTCCAAGCGCTCGTCGCGGGCACCCAGTTTTGTGTAATCGGTGTTTCCGCCGCCCCCGCCACCGCCCTCCTTCCAGCGACTGTTGTAGGGACCGCCACCGCTACCCCCGCGATTGCCGTAGCCTCTGTTGCCGCCGCCACCGCCGCCGCCCCCACCACCACCGGGTGCGCCGCCTTCAGCGGCGCCGCCATCGTAGCCAATCGGGCGCTCCGGCTCCTGCCAGCGATCATTGCGTGGCTGCTGTGCCTCCTCCGATTGTTCGTTGAGGCCGTTGCCTCCGGCACCAGCGCTGGCGCCGCTACCACCACCAGCGCCCCCGCGATACGACGGTCCGCGTCGATCCCCAAAGCTGCGACCACCTCCTCCGCGATTCCAGTCGCCGCCGCGGCGCGAGTCAAATTCACCTGCGAACGGGGAAAAGAATCTATAAGAGCTGCTCTTGTCCAAATATATTAACCGCAGTTTCTCAGTCCCAATCTTTGAACTTATCTCATCGACCGTCTGTTGCCTAATCAGCAAAATGAAGCTTTCTCGTATTAAGCTTCCCATCAGGTTAGCGCTTACCGTTATAGTTGTCCTCGTAGCGGTTGCTGCCACCACGTCTGCCGCCGCCACCGCCGCCGCCGCCTCCGCTTCCAAAACTTCCGTAGTCGCCGCTCTGGCGATTGTAGCCGCGATTACCTCCGCGATCGCCTCTGCGAAATTCACCGCCGCGCTGCTGCTGCTGCTGGTCCCTGTTCTCGAGACGCGGTGCGGCACCTGAATCAAAGCCCTGGCCTTGATTATCTAAGTCCGCGTTGTTGTTGCCACCACCACCTCGAAGATGCGGGGGCACATAAACGCCACCAGTGACCGAATTAGTGGAAGTCTTGCTTGTTATGGGGCCGCTATAGTTAGCCGAGCCGCCATTCAAGTCCAGACCAGCAACCTGCAATGGCACGGAAAATATTAAAAAAAAAACACACACACACACAAAAGCAAATGTAAATGTAACACACATTCAGAATTGGCCTATATTTAACTGTTTTGGCATCTCAATCTTAAGTAGTGGCAACCCTGCTCATTGTCGATTCGTGCTGAATAAGCATTTAGCTATTATAAACAGTCAGCAACTTTTTAAAAAATTAAGTTGGCAACACTACAAAGATGTGGGAGATTTCAGCTGCTGACTGTTCAAATCCCTGATACGTCGTATTTATTCAATCACATTTATTGATAACAATATAAACAAACGTGAGTTTCGTGTCACGCTCGAATCGGGCACACAGATATACATACATACATATCTACGCGATCAAGTTCAACGAATTCTAAGCCGTTGCCGAAGAGAACTTTGTAATAACAAGTTTTTCGGTAGAACACATGCATACATACATTCGCAATCTTCTCACAATACCATCGCCATGCCCGGTTAGCAACATGTTTTTTATTTGAAGCGCGACGCGTATATGTCACACTCACACACAACAAGCGCAACTAGTTTGAGAGGCTTTGACAGGCAGGGGCCTAGCAACAACAAAAACAATAGGATGCCACCCACACACGCGCA